CAACTCTGTGAAGTGGGTATTATTATCCCCATGTTACAGGTGAACAAACTGAGGCAGAGATTGTGGGTCACTTCCCTTGGGTCAAACCACTAGGAAGGGGGACACACCAGAGTCCATGATCACCTCTCCAGATGAAACTTTCCCTCTTTTTGCCTCTTCTCTTGTCTGCAAAATGTATAGTAATAGTTACGACTTATTGGGTCATTGGGTCAAATGAAAGAAAACGGAAAAAGCACTTAGTGTGCTGCCTAGCACCTGTCAGACAATGTTGGTTCTAGAGACGATATGTCCATAAGTAGTAATCATCTTATTAGCTGCTACTTAATGAAGGTGTTAAACATTGGCCTCCACCAGATTATGCTACCGTGACAAGCAAGTCCCTAATCTCAGGGGTTGAAGGCAACAACGCTGTATTAGTCGACTACTGTTGCAGTAATGCTGTGTAACAAACCATCCCCAAACTGAGCATTGCAACAAGCATTCTTTCTGAGGGTTTGTGGGTGGCTGACTTTGCATTAGCTGGTTGGGCTCCTATCTGGGAGGAGGATTCAAATTCTTGGGATCAGTGGCTCCTGGGCTAGTGTTCTTATGGCTGATCGCAGGAGTACAGAGCCCAAGTGCATTAAATGCCCCTGCTGAGGTCCAGGGTGCTAACATTCCACGGAGTCAAGTAAGTCACATGGTCAAAGCCAACATCAAGAGCTGCATTTGCTGAACGAGTCCCCACTCATAAGTAGTTGATTCTTCCTTCACCCTACGTGTAGCACTGTTCACAGGGTGTCCTGCTCACCATAACCGCAGAGCACCCACCAACTCGAACATTGCCGTGTACAGGAAAGCACGGGGAAGCCTCACATGGGTGATTCGATGCTGTGACGCAGAAGTGACTTGACGAAACTCATGGGATGGAGCTAGTTGGATGGTCCCCCAAACCTCACGGGGTGGGAGGGGGCGGGCTGGGAATCGCAGCTCTGCTCCGAGACTTCGTGACCTCAACCGTGGACTTGTTTTGTTTAGTAAGCAGCAGGAATGGCTGCCAGAGCCTCCTAGTGGAGAGTTCTTGCTTTATCCTCCCAGCTCCTGGGGTGATAGGCACTGTGAATCTCAGTCCTCTTTTTAGAAGAACCTGAGGCTTGGAGGAGGGATGTTACGTTGGAGTTCATCCAACTACAAGGTGGTGGAGCCTAAGACTTTAATCATCACGTCACAGAGAGGGAACAAGCCTGTATCTGTTATCTTTGGCTGTATCTTTCTGTAACCACTCCCAAACTTAGTGGCTTAGAACAATGGACCCCCTTTCATTTAGCTCGGGATTCTGCCCTCCACAGTTTGGTCTGAGATCATCCAGGTGGCTCTGCTGCAGGGTTCAGCTTGTCAGCGAGGCAGCTATCTCAGAGGGTTCGCTGGCTGTAGCTTGGGGTGTGAAGAGTGACTGGGCCACATGCCTCTACTCACCCAGCAGGTTAGCCTGGACTTCTTGGCATGGCACGGGTTCCAAGGGCAGCGAGAGAGGAAGCCCTAATGTGTGAGCACTTTTCAAGTGTCTACTTGGGTGGTGTTTGCTGTTTGTTGGTCCTGCAGCCCAGCCAAATCATGCAGCCAGGTCAAGAGTCAGACCGGACTCTCAAAGAACAGAGAGAGGAATTAATGGGCTAAGCTGCTTCCAGCACTGGGATGCTTCACTGTCACAACCCCCAAGGTCTAAGTGTCACTTTTCCACCTGTGTCTAACCCCTCCCCCACACACATACACTCTCGGGAGTCTCTGGATTCCAGGTCAAGGGTTCTTTCCCATACAGACCCTCACCATCCAGCTCTCTTCTCCCAGGACCCAGAAGTCCCCACCCTTGGTCTCTTCCTCCTTCAGACCCAGTACTACCTCCAGCCCCTTCCTTGCCCAGACTAAGCAAAATCTCAAGCATCTTCCTTCCCCTTCAAGCCCCCAAAGAAGAGACACACAGTGGCATTTCTACTCCTTTTTACTCACTCCCTCAAACAGCACCACAGGCCAACCACACCCTTAACTAGCCCTCCCCAGTTCCCCACCCCAGTGCATACAAGTCTCTTCATTATCCAGAAATGTAGGAAACTCAGCTCTGGTGATAAGATTGTCTCTTCCACTTCCGCTTCTGGGAATGGGCTACGACTTAGCATTCATTTCCTTGAATTCTTGCCCCTCGAGGGTCTTCCAGCCTGGAAGTCTGATGTCGACACACCCTGAGGGCAGCCAGCAATCAGTTCTCAAGGGAGTCTTACTTAGTCTTTCTGCTTGGATGCTCCCAGAGACGGATACCTCACTAGCAACATGATGCCTGTCATCAAAAGTCGTAATTTATTTATTTATTTTTTAAAGTCGTAATTTAAAAGGCAACCACCCCACCCCCAAACTAGCTACACCACCCTAGTGTCGATACACACCAACAGAAACACAATGAGCACTCCCCCATAGAGACCGAGGCAAACAAAATCGGGTCCTGCTTTCTCAGATATGATCCCCAGCAGGAGTCCCACTGGCATGAAGGCAAAGGGAATTTGGAGCAGGGAAGCACGGCACAGAGGTACCAGGGAAGACCAAAATCGGAGATGGCATGAAAGTGGCAGAGAGGAGGGCACTCTGGGAGCAAAGGCATGGGCGTGAGACAGAGGTGCCCAGACCAGAGTTGTCTGGGTACCACCTGGGGAACCGGGCACAGGCAACAAGACTTATGGTTGAGCTGCCCAGGGGGCCAGGCTTCTCTGGAGGGCTACAGGATGCTGTGTGTGCGCACACGTGTGTGTGAGAGAGAAAATATGCATGTACATAAGTACATACATACACTGTTCTCACAACGACCCTGTGAGGTAGATGCCACTTGCTGAGCGACTTGCCCAAGGTTACCCCAATGTCAGGAGGACTGTCTTAACCCTAGAGCGATACCAATAGGATTTCCTGTGATAATGGAAGCGTTCTGGGTCTTTGCTCTCCAGTGCTCTAGCCATGCATCACAGGTGGCCACCGAGCCCTGGGAATGTGGTTAGTGTTAACTGGGAAATGGGAGTTTTAAACTTTATTCACGTTTAATTAAAAACGGATACACACCGCAGTTATTGGGAAACTGGTCAATATAATTGGGACAGCTTGGGTAGAGGAATCAGTTTTCTCCGCCGACGAATTTTTGGAAAGTTAAATAGAGGTATTTCTGATGAACATTTATCATCTGAATGAGATGTACACTGTGTGTAAAATATCTCATTCTCTTCTCGATTGATTACAGGTCGAATTAATATTTCGGATATACTGGGTTAAGGAAGACGCATCTAGCTTCACTGTTTCCTTTTACCTTTGTAATGTGGCTGCTGGGACATTTCCAGTTACAGATGTGGCTCCCATTCCGTTTCTGCCGGACAACACTGCTGGGCGCCTCTCCCATCTCCCCGTGGCTGGCGAGCTGGACTGAGAGGCAGACCATGGTGGACTGGGTATTACAGATATGGGCAAACACCTTTCCCTGAAGCCCAAAAGGCCTTCGAGGACAATGTGTGACGCTGTTCAGTATTGAGCCAAATGCTTTTTCCCACCTTGGCCATTTTCAACTGAGGGGACAAACTGTGCCAGCGGCAAGGGTTCAAGTTGGACACGGGGGTACCATCTGGCAGGTATCTGCCACTTAGAGAGTCACCCTTGTCTCCTGCTGTCAAAGAAAATAGGATCTTGGAAGAGTTTATGGTTTTCGTCCAGCCCTTTCATTTCACAGATGGGAAAATAAGGCACTGGTCCAAGTCACCAAGAGTGCCAGTGGCGAAGCCTTGCTTGCCTCCCAGATCCCCTGACCTCCAACAGGGGCTTCTCTCCCATCAGATGCTTGTTTCTCCCACCTCACTCATTTCCCATCTTGTGGCCAGGGGCTGACAATCTAAGTTCCAGTCTGCTCATGAATTCGGTATTTACTAATATTGAATAATTACTAATCGTGCCAGGCACTCTTCTAGGTGCTGGGGGTACAGCAGAGAACAAGACTAGTCAGAGTATCATAACTATTAAATAGGTAAATAAATAAATAAGGTAATTATTTACAGTAATAACTGCTACAAGGGAAACACTGACGGGCTGAGATGAATAATGGTGACGTGTGAGGTACTTCAGTTACACTGGTCACCGAAGGCCTCTCTGAGGGGACATGTGAGCTGAGACCTGCTTGACAAGGAGGAACCTGTCATGGGAAGATCTGGGGGGCAGAGCATTCTAGGCAGGATGAACAGTAAATGCAAAGGTCCTGTGGCAGGATCCAAAGTGGCCCACCCAGGCATCAGAAGGAAGATCAGGCTGGTTGGGGGACAGGGTGGGTGTAGGGAATGTGAACAGGCAGGGGCGAGACCACATAGGACCTTGCTATGTGCTGTTAGGCCTAGAGCCTGTCCTCCCTGGGCTTTGCTCTCCCCATCTCTCATAAAAGAGGTTCAACTTCATTGCCTTTTGGGTCCCCCCTTTCTGTTTTTTGACACTGAAGAATTCTGTGACCTGTGGCATCTTATCTACCTATAGTTGGCAGTCTAGAACATTCCAGGCACTGTGGTTTCTGCCTTTGCTTCACTCATGGCACACTCCCACGGTCTGGAACACTCCCTAGCTGTTCTGTGGGTCTCTTGTCCTCTGCAGCACTGTGTGTACACCAGAAGGCAGAGCCTCTTGGTGACACCTGAGGTAGCCAACAAAGAAATGTCTGGATAAGTGCACGACAGCTGCTTTTCCAAAAAAGGCAGGAGTATAAAATACCAAGACCAGAAAGGATTAGGCTTAATGACAGAAGACACCAGACCAAAAAGAGAAACCACTAAGGGAGCAGATGGACAAAGGAACAGACTCACCAAGATCCCCTGAATTACTCAGCACATATAAAACGGGGGCAGTCATAGCCTTCCCTAACTCACACAAAGAGAGGCAATAGCCAGGGTCCAAATCTGTAACGGATTTGTGGGAGATACCTCTGGGGTATGGGTTCCTGCCCTCCCATACCCAGGTCTCATTGCTGGTCTTGGGCTGCCCCCCAGGGCCCACCATGCCTGGACCTCTTGCCTCCTCCCCTCTTTTTGAGGGACTATCCACAACAGCTGGGGAAGGAATCGAGGTCATCAGGCCCCTGGTACAGCAAGTATTAGACATCTCTCTATTCCCCAAGGTGGACCAAAGGTTCTCCAGCTCTTCTGCACAGCCCCCTGCTCCCTCCTGTAGATGGAGACCTCCCGCCACCCACGAATGAGACCAAGGTCCACCCCAATGAAGGTTCAAAGCCACTTCTTCTTGAGGAACTGGGAGGCTGGATGCAGGCCCACTGCCTCTGAGAAGCCTAACTCCTATATCCCCAAGTGGCTCAGCAGTTCCAAGGATTCCCACTCCCTGGGGTACCCAGACTCCTTCCTTCATACTGGAATCTCCAGAATGATGGAGACCCTCCTCAGCAGAAATCAGGGCTTTCACCTCTCCCCCCTGCCCCTCCCAGGGCTAGAGGACCAAACAGATCCAGTCTCTACTCCCCTGGAGACCAGGATAGAACCCCTCAGGTTCCTTCAGGACACAGTCTGATGTCATGCCCTGTGGTCCCCAGCGAAATCAGTTCTCTCCCCCAGACTCCTTTCCCCTCCAGGAGCCATGAATTCAGGGGACTACAAGTCACACATCCCAATCAGTAGTCCTAGAGCCCTCCTGCGCTTCAGGCACTCAAGATTCTGAGTGGCCGCCCCCAGCTCTGTTACCTTGGAGGCCCAGACATTCCCATGCCAGACTGGGGACTCCCAATTCCGCCCCCCTCCCTCTAACCGGGACTTGGGAGTCCTCAACCCCTGGCGGAGCCAAGCAGCAGGGACGCTGAGCACCCCAGAAGCCCCGACCCTCATCCCACCCCTCACTGCGCTGGCCCATGGGGCGCCAACACCGCCTCCGCATCGGCCTGCATCTCGTTGAGGGCCTGCAGCAGGACGCCGTGCGCGGCGCGGTAACCCAGGCCGCCGGTGGCCGCCGCACCGCCCGCGGGCCACAGGAAGGACAGGGCGCCCAGCGCCGCGCCCCCCGCAGTGCCCTCGCCCGCCCATGCGCCCAGCCGTGCCTCCACCTCAGCGCGCGTCACCGGGCCCGGGAAGCGCGTCCGCTCTGCCAGCTCCCCCGGAGTCAGACCTAGCGCGCGCTCGCGTCGAGCCAGTGCCGCGGGTTCGAGCCCCAGCGCCCGCCGCCACTCCGCCAGCTGACCCCGCAGCAGCGCCACGTCGCAAGCCCAGCCGAGCCCTGGGACTGGTGCCGCCGCCGCCGCCAAGCTAGCCAGCAGAGCCGGCCGCCACGCCCCGGCCCGCAGGGCCGCCGCCTTCAGCCGGGCTCCGTGGGGAGATGCGGGGGGCAGCGCCAGCAGCAGCGCCCCGGCCTGGGCCGGGGGGAGCGCGCGCCGCAGCCACTCGCAGAGCCCGGGGAGGCCCCCAGGCCGCAGGGGGAACACGGGCGGCCGTGCCTCCTCCAGCACCTCCCACGTCTCATCCTCCGGGCTCAGTGCGGCCGCACGCTCTGAGTCCCCGCTGGCCGATTTCTTCCCGCCGCCGCCAACACGCGTCAAACTCTCACTGCCTTTCTCTGAACTTTCCCCGCTGCCTGCTTTCTCGGACTCTTCCCCGCTACCTTTCTGCAACCCGGTGCCACTTTTCTCCCTTCCCTCGCTGCATGCATTCTTCAACCCCTCTCCGCCTGTGTTCTCTAAGCTCTCGGAACCGGCCTTCTTTGCCTTTTCCTCTTCCTCCAGGTACTCTGGATCCTCACCCTCACCATCTGTTCGCACGCAGACCAGCGGCGCATCTGGCAGCACGAAGGGCCGAATCTGAGCCCAGTCCTCCTCAGTGGGGGCCCCCAGCGTGACGAGGATGAGGGCGTCGTAGTGGGTCGGATGGGGGGCGGCAGCAGTGCCCGCGGAGCCCAGAGGCACGTTCCAGAGCACCACGTTGGGACGCTCTGGGGCCGGGTAGGGCGTGGGCCCCGGGGGCGTGAAAACAGGCTCTTCCTCTGGGTCACTGGGATCCAACCCGAGCAGCATGTTCAGCACAAGGCTTACATCAGTCTTGCCCGCCACAGCCAGGTCCAGCCGTGCGCTGCCCAGCCGCTCCAGGCCAGCGCGGACCCACGACAGCGCCGCCTCCAGGCCACCGGTCTCAAAGGCCTCACGCACGGCCTCCAGCTCGGCCGCACCCAGGACCTCGAAGCCATCCTGAGCGGGTGGAAGGAGCCTGAGGGAACAGGAAAAGGGAGGGTAAAGGGCAGAAGAGGGTTTAAACGCTAGAGGGTTGTGCTACAGGCACAGGACTAGGCTAGGATGATAAAGAGAATTTCCCGAATGATCCCTGACAGAAGGAGAAGCAAGAGAGGGAGGGGCCAGACTACTGCTATAGCATACACAAACCAGGGCTTAAAACCGGGACAGAGGGCGCCTGGGTGGCTCAGTGGGTTAAGCCGCTGCCTTCGGCTCAGGTCATGATCTCAGGGTCCTGGGATCGGGTCCCGCATCAGGCTCTCTGCTCAGCAGGGAGGCTGCTTCCCTCTCTCTCTCTCTCTCTGCCTGCCTCTCTGTCTACTTGTGATCTCTGTCTGTCAAATAAATAAATAAAATCTTAAAAAAAAAAACAAAAAAAAAAAAAAAAAAAAAACCCGGGACAGAGCGTGTTGGTTGAGGTCAGGTTTCCAACAAAGCCTAAAAGGGGGTACCTGCTAAATAGTCTCTGGGACTCAGTCTTTGGGGGGGGGGGCTTTTCCAAGGGACCTGCAGGGTTAAGAAAGGCCAAGCAAAACTCCCAGAAGGTCAGGCTCAGGTAAAGACAGACTTGCAACTGAATTGTGGACTTAAGGGAAGGTCAAGCACCTCCTGACCACCCATGGCACTCTTTGCTAAGACAAGTCATAAGGAGGGGAATTGGGGCCAATGAAGGGGAAAAGCTTCACCTACCAGTGCTTACCAAGGAAGGAGACGTGGCTAAAGGAAAAAAGATTCACACTGGACTTCTATGAAATAGGTGGCCAAGGGCTAGGGGGAAAATGCAGGAGGTAGCCAGCAAATGGGCACAGAAATGAGATGGGATTAGAGAAAGGAAGTGGGGGAGTGAACCCAGAAATAATAAGGCTTACCGAAGGTGTGGCTTTACAAAGACTGGTGTAGCTGGAGAACAAAGAAGATGTGTGAATCTTAGGGTAAAATCTTTGCCGGCATCACAAGCTTTTGAGCTGAGTGAGCCCTCCTTCAAACTTTTGCTGGGAGTCAGTATTTGGGCGTTAGACTCTGGCCTCTCCTACCATCCACACTGGGGAAAGGCTTTTGATCTCAGAACGCTGGCAGGAGGCTGAAGGTGGAGGACCGGTGGGAACCTATAGCTGACTCTTGGGTGGGACCGGGCCTAGGAGTGGGGAGAGGGTCTGGCACCGAGCTTGGGCTTAGGGTGGAGCCTCGATGACCTCAAACACTGCGCTGAGGGGTGGGACCTGCACGAGAGAGCAGGGTCCCCAGCAGCTATCCTGTCCATGGGGCTGGGGGGTCTCGCGGATCTCAAAGAACATTTTCTGCGTACAAAGTCTAAAGGACCAGGCCTCCAACCCTCCCAAACTCCTCTCTTACCTTTGCAGCACCTCCGCCTGGCTCTGCAGCGCCACCCGCAGGCGCTCCAATTCCTTGCAGCCATCTCTGGGTCTGCATTCGGCCGGCAGCACGAAGAGAGTTGCGGCCTCCAACCCTGTGTTGTTCAGCAGGGCCGTTGTCCGATCCCGGGCCTGGACTTCATTTTCCGAATCTCCAGGACGGAGGTTCCGCACAGCCAGCAGCGGGGTCCCTCGGGCCAGGGCGGCCCGCGCTGCCTCTCCTAGCGCTGGGGCCAAGGGCTCCCCGTTCCCCTCGGGGCCGGGCAGCACCAATACTAGCACATTGGCCTCCGCCGCCCAGGGCCCTGGCTCTGCGGGCGGACAGCTCAGCTCGCCCAGGAAGAGGCCAGGGCTCGCAGCTCGCAGGCTGGGGATCCCGGAGTCCGGCCGTCCCTCGGGAATCTCTATCGTCTCCACATTCCCGTCGCAAAGCGCTGCGATCAGCGCGGACTTGCCACAGCCCGGAGGCCCGAGGAACAAGGCGGTCACGTCACCCCGTGGCGGCGGCATACCTGGAAAGCAAGGGGGTGGGGCACACCCGGGTGAGGGAGCGCTGAGCCTTTTTCTTTCCTAGTCATCCCATTCTGGTCAAAGACTTCAGCCCTTCACCCCATCCCCTTCCCTTCTTGGATGTCATTCCCAGGAAAAAATCCGGCACCCACCGCCCTACCTATTCCCCAGGGATTCGCGCGTTTTGTCCGTCCTCTTTCTGGATACATTATTCTCTGTTTCAAAATCTCAGAAATCTGGCCTCCAGCCCCTTCCTCCCCCAGGGACATGGATGTTTTTATCCCCCAAACCTCCCTTCCAAATCACTAACCGAGCAAACCGCCGGCACAACCGGAGAGCACAGCTGGCGGCGACAGATCCTCCACTGAGAAGCCCCGCCCCTCGGGTCAGGCGGACGGAGGCCGGAGAGGTTAGAGGGCCGGGATTTGGGGACGTCCGGACACGTTCCCGGGGCTCTAACCTGACGTCACTCTTTTAAGGAGGGGGTGTGTCTTGGAAGCGTGACCTCCGGGTTCCAGCCCTTCACTGCGCCTGCGCAGAACACTCGAAGTATTCCCACTCCTCAGCTCCCGCTGCCGCAGGGCTCGGAACAATGAGGGAGTCAAAGCGCCTGCGCGCCAGGACCGCCAAGACACAGCTGCGCCAGAAGCTGAGGTCTATACGGCATGGGCGGCATGAAACGTCATCATAACGCACCCCCGGGCAGAGAAGGACCCCTACCGTTACTCTGAGGACCCGGTTGGTGCAACTGCATCACTGCCGGATAGCATCCCGGGCCTGGGCTTCGAGAGGCTCACCAGGCGAAAGGGCGTGGAAGCAAGCCACTGGGACCTTGAGACTCGGTGGGCCCTACCCCGCTTCCCTCCGGGTGGCGGCGCTTTCACGAGCGACTGACAGGCGCAACGAAAGGCAGCCCTCTGTCGTCTGGAGAAAAGCGGAGGCCTGGGTTCCCCGCCTCGGGAGGAGGGAACCGAGGGCAGTGCTTGGGGCAGCGGGACAGGGAGGCTCAAGGCGCACATGGGAGGCAGGGGCCCTGGGTGGAACGAGGGTTACAGGATGTCAGAGAAAGATGCCTCTCGGGAAGAGGCGGGCTAAAGTCTGGATACCACCACCCACCTCAGGACACGTGGGAAACGGGGGTGAGGCTGGTGTCAAAGCTCAAGGGTTCCGTGCCCCGAGTTCAGGGAGGTAGTTTGATGTAGGCCGCCACAGGTCTCAATCAGGTGAGAAGGCTCTAAGGGGTGTCACCTATCTAGGGAGTCGAATCTTTAGGGAGGGTCGAAGCTTCCCTAGGGAACAGCGCCATCGGGTTAGAGTTCAAGAGGATGGCATCTTATGGGGGCAAGGAGAGCCTGTCAGAGGTCACGGGATTAGCGGGCCCTGTAATGCTGTCAGTAGATGAGTGACTTCACTCGATTTACTATTCTGTCATGCGTGCTACTCTCTTGACCAGAGGGATCCCAGTCACTATGGAGGACCCGCGTCCTGAAGGGAACATGGAGCCCCAGAATTCGTCTAAGGAGAGGAGTCCCCGCAGTCCAGGAGGCGACATCTGTGAGTGCTGCTGGCCAGAGGGTGGGATGCTGGAGCTGACGCTAGCTCTAAGGATTTCTATAGCATTTCAGTGTCCCTGGCTTTACAAGGACTTGCCTGCTGGGAAGGGACTGTGATAAATGGCTTCTAAGCTGCCCTACCAGGAACTGCCACTCTCCACCCTTACCCTTACTCTGCTCAGATGTACTCACCCTGCTCTGTCCATGTCAGTTCGAGTGGGCCACAGTTCACAGGAACAGAGTGGCATCCAGAGAGGCTTGGGGTGGGAGATGTGAATGGGAAAGGTTGGCACTATGAGAGGAGCCCCAAGGTTCCAGTTCCAACTCTACCCCAGACTTTCATTGAGACTTGGGCTTGGGTTACTCTGTCAAAAGAGGCTGCCACTACTCAGGTGATGTGGCCGTACTGGGGATTAGTGGCAGAGAAGGGGAAGGTCAGCTGTTAACAAAGGTAGCCAGTTTTACATACCATGATCCCAGTTTCTACTGAATGCTTATGAAGCTTGTGGGCGCTTTGTAAGAGTGCAGCCTTCCTTATCTCAGTCCTCCTGGCAGTCCCTAGGAAATTCCCTCAGGTAATGCTATCCGGCAGATGCTATGAGGTAAGGGAACTGAGGCAGAGGTTATCGTGATGATGAGAGCGCCAGTGTCAAGGCCCTCCAGCCAGAGACCACCGGGAACACACCTACAGTTGAATGAGTTGGGTTCATTGCTCTTTGAGGAATTGCACATCTGTGGTGCTGTGGGGGCATCTCAGTGTTAGAGAGGATTTATCCTGGGTGGTTTGGGGAAGGGTTCGAGGAAGGGTTTTGCTTGGGATTAGATGCTGCCAATAAGCAGGGGCCAAAGATAGGTTGGTGAAATCGTATCTAGGAGGGGGGTACATAGGCTCAAGCTGCGAATTAACGGAGCAACAGCAGCCACTCCTAGGAGCCAAGATGGGGGCGCTGTTTGGTCTTTTTTGTGGCTTGGACAACGTTCATGTTTTGTCTGTGTTCAGACGTTATTCTGGCATGGTCTTGACTTGGTTCATCTCAGTCACAGCATGGCCTTGTCTGACCAGGTTGTGTGAAGCTGCTTATGTTCAACAGGAGAACACCAAGGCCTAGCTGGGAGTGCCAGGCCAGCCCCCAGCTGTCAAGCTGCTTTTCTCTTTTTCAGTACAAATAATCGCAAACCACTGTGTAGCACTGTTCTAAGCACTTTCTATGAGTTAGTTCATTCACTCCTTCCAACAACCCAATGACGTAGTTATAACTGCTGGTCAGTTATAACCATACTGATAACAGTTACGACCCCACTTTCTGGATGAGGACACTGTCGTACTCGCCTAGGAAGTGGGAGATCTGGGATTCAGTGCCGGGCAGTCTGTACTCCAGAGGCCGGGCAGTCTGGCTCCAGAGGCTGTGCTCCAACGTGGCTCTGTTGGAAAGGCAGGTTCTAGTCCCTGGGTTCTAGTCCTGACTCCATTCCATTTCCCGGCCTCATGACTGTAGGCAAGTTGCCTAGCCTTTTTGAGCCTCAGCCTGTTCGCCCATAAAACAGGTCCTGTAATAGTTTGCCTGTGCCACTGTCCAGGCCTGGCATACAGTCTGGCCCATAGTAAGCCCTGAGTGTGAATTGTTGGCATGACTCTGGGGCTTGGGAGAGGTCCTGGTGACTCTTGCTGGCTTCCCCCCGACCTCTCCCCACGTCCCTCAGGCCACCTGGGGGCCCCGCAGTGCACCCGCTGCCTCATCACCTTCGCCGATTCCAAGTTCCAGGAGCGTCACATGAAGCGGGAGCACCCAGCGGATTTCGTGGCCCAGAAGCTGCAGGGCGCCCTCTTCATCTGCTTCACCTGCGCCCGCTCCTTCCCCTCCTCCAAGGCCCTGATCGCCCATCAGCGTAGCCACGGTCCAGCCGCCAGGCCCTCCACGCCAGTGGCGCCCACCGCGGCCCAGCCTACGTTCCCCTGCCCTGACTGTGGCAAGACCTTTGGGCAGGCTGCTTCTCTGAGGCGGCACCGCCAGGCGCATGAGACCTGCACCCCTCCTGGCCCTTTTGCCTGCACTGAGTGTGGTCAGGACTTTGCCCAGGAAGCTGGGCTGCATCAACACTATATCCGGCATGCTCGGGGAGAACTCTGAGTGGGGCTAAGCCCTCCCTAGGACAGTGGTGGGAGGGTTCTTTGGCTGCTAGAACCCACCTCTGATACAGGATGGGGGCCTTGGAAGGATTGCTTTCCCTCCCTGGACAGGCAAAGGACTCCTGATGCGTAGGACCCAGAAGATGCTCATCTACAGCTTCAGTCTTTGGAGGATGCAAAGGCCTTCAGGGATATAGTGGAATTAATGAAATCTTTTGTTTAAAAAAAAAAAAAGCCAAAAGCAAAAGTGTTATTCGTATCTCCCTCATTCCCAATTAAATAGTTTGAAACCACAGCTAGCTGCAGATTGTGTAATCACCTTTAATTCTTCCCAGATGGATGGTGTGAGATGTAGAAGCAAATTCCCTTGGATATGTACCTGGACGGGGGGGGGAAGATGAGGTGTTGCAGGGCTGTAATGTCATTAGAAGGGTCCCAGACGTGGAGCAACTTGGGCCTTTGGGGAGGGGATAGCAAAGTTGGGGGCTGTACTCTGAGTCATGTGGGGGTTGCAATTCAAGTCCGTGTCTTCTCCCACCTCCTGTCAGTCTTTCCCACTCATGGAGGGGCCACGGTATTGGAGGGATTGGGGCTCCCCCCCCCACCCCCACCAGTAATCTATTGCTCACTTAAATAATTCTATGGACCATTCTGGTCATGGAATATTTTCTATATGAGTAGGTGAGATGACATGAATAAAACAACAAAGAGTATCTAAAAACAAGGGATCTATATTAAAATGTCTAAACAAGGAACTCTGGCTTTTGAGTAGGAATTCCCAGAAAATGTAAGAAGGGTACAGGGAGGGGATGCCTGCATGGCCCAGTTGGTTAAGAGTCGGACTCTTGATTCCAGCTCAGGTGGCGATCTCAGGGTTATGAAATCCAGCTCAGTTACAGGCTCTGCACTGAGCACGGAGCCTGCTTCAGATTCTCAGCCTCCCTCTCCCTCTGCCCCACCCCCTCTTCATGTGCGTGCTCTCTCTCTTCAAAATAAATAAAATAAAAAGAAGGGCACAGGGAGGGGGAAGCTCAGGTCAGAGCTGGCCTGGCCCTGCTGGGAATCTGGTTTGAAATCAAACAGAGATACCTTCTGTTTCCTGTTGTATTTGGCCAACATTGGAAGAGCTCCCATTAAAATCCTATTTTCAGCTCTTGAAAAGCCTAACCCTAGGCCAAGTCCCACCGGGCCAGTGCTGAGTGTGGTCAGGACTTTGGATTACCTGCCCTGCCCCCCACTTAGAGACAATGGTTGATGCCCTGCATATAAAAATCACAGACTCTGTCTGAACCAAGGGACGCTTTTAAAACCCATGGCTGAGACAGATCCGGTAGAGAGAGACAGCGGTCTCCCAGTTTTTAAATAGGTACATGGCAGCTACAAACTCTCCATCTCCCAGGGTCCCTTGCGGCTAGGTGTTGCCCTGTGACCAAGTTCTGGCTAAATTCTGGGTAAAGTTCTCAAGCTTCAGAAAGGGACATGCCTTTTCCTCTACCTTCCTGCCTGGAGTCTGGACATGGTATCCGACCATCTTGGACCATTAGAGCAAGATATGGGCTGGCAGGGGCGCCTGGGTGGCTCAGTGGGTTAGGCCGCTGCCTTCGGCTCAGGTCATGATCTCAGGGTACTGGGATCGAGTCCCGCGTCGGGCTCTCTGCTCAGCGGGGAGCCTGCTTCCCCCTCTCTCTCTCTGCCTGCCTCTCTGTCTACTTGTGATCTCTCTCTGTCAAATAAATAAATAAAGTCTTTAAAAAAAAAAAAAAAAGATATGGGCTGGCAGAGCAGCAAGACAGCAGAAGCCTGGGTCCCTTGACCATGGGTCCCTGGGACCACGATGACTTCAGGGGGCAGAGTCATCATATCAGCCCTAGACTATCCACTTGTGTACTACCACGTAAGAGAGAAATAAGCCTCTGTCGTGTTTAAATCACCCTTATTTTGGGTCTCTGTCACTTGCAGCATCATTTAAAGCCTGTCTGCAGCGCAGAACTGCAGATCCGAGTAGTCGCAGCAGAGACCGTATGGCCCACCAAGCCTAAAATAGGAAAGGACCATCTGGCCCCTTACAGTAAAAGTTTGCTGACCTCTTGTCTAACTGACACACAAACAACCTCCTCCGAGCCTGGCAGCCAGGACTCCCACCCTGGGAAACACCACCTCTAGTAGGGGGCTGTGCAGACACGTGTGTTTTTGTGTAGGATTTGGGCAGGGCTAGCTAGCCTGGATCTCTGTTGGCATGACTTATGGGGAAATTGGTCTGGAGTCAGTTGGCCAGCATTTTTTCCTAAAATATCGACTTCACCAAAGCCAAATATTTCCTCTGCACCTGGCAACAGCTCAGAAGTTTCCAACCCAGATGTTTTACACCTCCCCCACAGCGGTTCCCTCCAACCCAAACCTAAGGCTCAAATCACACATGCTCCCCTGAGATAGACAGCAGTGGGCCTGTGTTCTTCCTGTTCTCTCCACTCTCCAGATGTCATAGATTCCCAAGACTTTAAATAGCATCACTGGTGACTTCCAAATCTTTATCTTCAGCTCAAGCCCCAGGCTTCTCCCCATGAGAAAGTCACTTGGATAATGCATAAGAGTCTCAAAAACTTAAAAAGGGTCAGCGTGACTCCTACAGCCCCCACCTACACCACTACCATCGGACTGGTTTCTGAACTCCTAAGTCTGACCAGCCCTCCCCACAGCTGCTCTCCTAACTGCTCCCCCCACCCTGTCCCTGGACCTTCCACCACTGCTGCCCCCTCTCTAGTCCACTACAGACCACTTTGTGTACGTAAGTCAGTGTACATCACTCTTCATTTAAAGTCCTCCAACGGCATCCTACAAATAACATCCACAGATTTTACCCAGGCCCAGAAAACCCAACAGTGATGGAGCTCCCACCTGCTAATAAGCAATCTCAACTCCCTCCCTGCTCTATCTTCACTATACGCCAGCCATACAGGCCAGGCTGGCTTCTGCCGCAGGGCCTTTGCACTTGCTGTTCCCTCTGCCTTGAGTGCTCCTACCCAGAACTTTTTAACACTGTCCCTACCTATTTGGGATTCAACACGGGCTGCCTCCTCAGAGAGGTCCTCCTTGACCTGCTTGGCTAAAGTAGCACCAGCAACCCTTAACCCTGACTTAATTTCTTCCTAGCACTCTTCAATACCAGGGATTATCATGCTTTTATTTCTTTATCTGTGTCCTTACTCTGGAATCCACACTCTTGAGGGCAAGTGTTGTGTCTTCCTCGCTTCCCCAGAACCTAGGACAGACAGCATTGATCTCAGAGGCTCAAAAATTGCTCAGCTGGGCTCATGGTTTACCTAGTGTCTCTCAGTCTGCAGCCTTCCCTATGATGCTCTGTGATGCTTGGTTTTCCGCAGTTAGGTTTCCTGGAATCCCTCCAGAGCCAGCTTCCTGAAGTTCTGCCCACGAGAGGGATGGACATAAGGAAGGTAGGAGGGAGAAGAGACTCACCTTGCTTTGGGCTGCCTCCTGCAGCAGCTCAGGCTCCAGTGCCTTTCTATACTAGGCACAGGTACTGTGCTAAACCTCTTGCGGTTTAAACCTCTGCACACGGGTCTGTCCGCCAAGCTCCTGTCGGGCCCTGGACCCCAGTCCTAGAGGTGGGAGCTTTGTGCAGACATGAACTGAGCTGCTCAGTTGCCTCACTTCTCCACATTTGTGCTCTCAGACTTCTAATGGCTGTATAACCACTCCCCTGTGTTAAGTCCTCCCTTTGGAATTCCTAGCTTGATGTCCCTATCCTGCCTCGGCCCCGAAGAACCAAATGACCCCACTGGGAGCAGACTAGGTCTCTGGATTCCCAGTCTCTCATATCCTCAGGAATTTTTGCTGATGAATGGATGGTCCTCTACCTCCATGCTTAGAAAGCCCCGTCTTAGGGCAGAAGAGCGCTTAAGCGTGCTGCTCCAGGAAATAAAATCCATCTGTGGTGTTTTAATGAGCTGTGAATTCCTGCTTTGATGATTCTGAGAGTCATTGATGTTAAGCTATAATGGTTAGGAAAGTCTCAACTTGAAGAGTGGATAAATGTCAGGTTCTCGGATTCTGAGCTTCTTGGATGGGAAGTGTGGGTTTTGACAGATGCTTTGGTATAAGATCCTGTAGCAGGCATCAAAATGCAAGTGTCCTCTGTGGCCAAGCCGGTACCGTCATCAGGGAAGCAAGCAGGGTGTGAAGGGTCCAGTTGCCAGATGGTGTGGAACGGGCACACGGGCAGGAATGCCCCATTAGCAGGAGGTCGCCCTTCCCCAGCTCCAGCAAGCTACTAGCCCATGGGATTGTGGGTTCAGCAATCTAAACCTCACAATTTTCCAAAGAAACCCCCAACCTCCATTTTGATGTGAAATCCACCCATTTTTAAATGTTGGTAACCACCATTATTAAAAAACCTGCGTAACTCTGTGGAGCCCAAACATACTCCTGCCAGTCAGATGGTGGCTGTGGACAGCCTGGCTGCCATTTCTGGAATGTGGCTTAACGGTGAAGGACGTACACCCCGTACCTATCGTCTGGAGTCAAACCTGGGCTCTGTGTCTTACTGGCTGTGTGACCAACCTGTAGCAAGTAAGTCAACCTCCCTGGGCCAGAACCGTTGTAAAATGGTTGTGATGAGAGGCCCTATGCCTCTAAGGGTTATGACAATGACTCAGACATGGAGACACAGCCCAAATTGGTAGAACGGCCTGCAAGGCCTGGCCCTCTGCCTCTTCCTGACTTTTTGCCTCCCACCAGTCTTCCCCTGCCTTCCCACCAGTCTTCCCCTGCCTTCGTCAGCAACAGCCTCATGCCCTAAGTGTTGTTCTATAAATATCCCAAGTAGGGCCCCACCTCAGGGCCTTTGCACTCACTGCCCCTGCAAACAGGACACACACACACACACACACACACACAGAGCCCCCCACCCTATTTTCCTCCATAGCACTTCTAATGTTCTCTACATTTTCTATCTTTTACTCTACGATCTAAGTATCTGTCTTCTCTGTTATAAGAGGAGTTTCCACAAAGGCAGGGACTCTTGTTCCTCATGCACACTGCTCTACTCTCAGCTCCCAGAAAAGTGCCAGTATCTTGCAGGTGCTCAATACATCACTGTTGAATGAATGAATAAATAAATAACAGCCCCTACCTCATAAGGATCCGACGCGATTGTCCATATTAAACGCTTTAGCCCAGGGCCTGGTCCACCGTGAGCGCTGATTTAATGATGGTCATTACGGTAATTCAGGTTCTATTCTTGAAGGTTCTTAGTTGCCAAGCTTCTATGAGTTAACACACGTAAAGCGCCTTAGAACAGGGCTTGGCACACAGTAAATGCTCAGTAAATGGTAGCTATCATTATAATTAGGCTTCTATTTTCAAAGGAGCTTTGGTGCCAAACTATTATGAATTAGTACTTCCCATCTCCAAGCAAGAGCCAAGTTCCAACAAAGCTCTAACAAGCTGGCCCTCTGCTCCTCTCTGCCCTCATCTCTCCAGCTCTGCGCTCTCTGACACCCACTCTCTGACACCCGCTCTCTGACACCCGGCAGGCTCCTGCCTCCTCCCGCCTGGACCACATGTCCCCTCTTCCCCTCCAAGTGCGCAGCTCCTGCTCCCTCCCCTCCATCTCCACTTAGGTCCCTGTCCCCTCCTCAGGGAGGGCTACACTACTGAAAATGGCAACCCCCTTCCAGCACTGTTCTCCCTCCTCTGCTTTATTCTTCTCCACAGCATCTACCCCCATCCAGCATACGCTCCATCTTGCTTGTTTCCTGTCTGTCCTACCTAACCCCTGCAAGCTCCACAGGGACAAGGGTTTTGTTTCATTCACGGGTATATTCCCAATGTGTAGCACGGAGCAGGGGCTCGGAAGATGATTCCTAACTGAATTAATGGATCACGGTCCCTACCTCACAGAGTTATTCTAAAGACCTGATGATCTCATGCAAATAAAATGCAGCACTCTGTAAGTGCTGGGGAAATGGCAGCTGTAATTATAATTAAGGTTCTATTTTTGTAAGTTCCTAGATACACAACTTCCATGAGTCAATATATATAAAGCTCTTGGACCGGCACTTGGCACCCGGGAAGCACAGCTCTGATTATAATTAACGTCCTCTTTGTGAAGGTTCTTAGGCAGGGGCAGAGAACATTGGCTGTCCTCCACCATCCTCCACGAACCGTTCTCTGCTTCCTGGGCATTGGCTAGACCGCCTTTCCCAGAGTCCCCTGCGTGGAGCTGTGGCCGCGTGACTCATTTCTCGGCAGAGGGGCGTCAATGGGAGGAGTATGTGCCCCCTTGGGGCTGGGGCTGGTAAGACATCGCATGTACCTCGCCTTTCTCTTCCACCAGCAGGACCCAGGCGATGGCCACTCAGTTGGCTAAGGGATGGCCTGGGTCCTGGAATCACTGCATGGAGAAGGGTTGCCCCCAACCTGAAACACCCACCCTGGACTCTGATGTGGGCGCCGAAACCTCTGTGGCGTTGAGCCTGCATATCACGGGGTCTTTGCGTAAATACGTGGAAACCACACAGGACATAAGCACTCAGGAAACGTTGAAAGTCTTGGCGACGATGAGGTTAAGGTTCCCCCAGGAAGGAGCGTCGTGGTGGGGGGAGATAAACGCCCAGGCCCAGGCCTCACACACTCGAGTGTCTACACACACACACACACACACACACACGTGCACACCCACACACACACCAAACATGCTGGACCGACACACACAGAATTTGGCTTTTATTCTGGCCTTCACACATCTACCACTAAGACGACACAGACCGGCGGTACCCCCGTCCCCCATGACTGCTGTGATCACCCCCGTTTCCTCAGCCCCCTCCTCCCACCCCGCCCCTCTTGCCAAGCTCCCTGGGGGGGGGGGGTCCCTGCCTACACCTCGCCCCGGGCATGCAGCATGAAGTGCCCATGCAGCTCCCCGAGGTTGTCGAAGGAGTCCTCACACTCTGTGCAGTGGTAGGTGCCCTCCTCCTCCTCGTCCTCATCCTCGTCCTCCTCCCTCCCAGCTGGTCGGCCCTCCCCAGCCCGAGGCGGCTCCTCCTCTTCCTCCCCAAGGGCCCTGCCTTCAGGGGCTGGAGCTTCCTGGGGGGCTGTAGCAGGGCAGCAGAGCCGGCAAGGCGGGGTGCCCGGTGGGGCCTCCCCCAGGGGTGAGCGGCCACAGAGCTGGCAGGGCTGGGCTGGGGGGCCTGGGGGCTGGGCTGCACGGGGGGCCCGGCGGGATGGGCCCCCCCGGCCGCCCCCCAGGCGCTGCTTCACCTTGTAGCCGGGGTCATATTCAGGATCATCAGTGGCCTCCTCCTCCTCCTCCTCCTCATCTTCTTCCTCTTCGGAGTCCGGCTCTGAGAGAGTGTATTCAGAGTCAGAGGAATGCTCAGGGCCTGTAGGGGGACAGACAGAGGGGAGAGACAGAGGCATCTGAGGACGTGGGCCCTGCCCCTGCCCTGAGCCTCATTCTGACTCGCCGTAGCCTGGAGCAGGAGCCTGCACACAGCCTGGCTCTTCCCCACAAGTGAATCCCAGTCACATGGAACATGGCCTGGGACGCGGTAGGTGCTCAGTGTCTAAGCAAACGGATGTCCTGCAAGAACTGCATCTTAGGGGTTTAATAAGGACAAAGTAGCAGTAATAAAAACAGTAACAATAACAGTGTTCCTTGCTATTTTAAGAGCCCTGTTCTTGGGGTGCCTGGGTGGCTCCATCAGTTAAGTGTCGGGCTCTTGATCTCGGCTCAGGTCTTGATCTCGGCTCAGGTCTTGATCTCAGGGTCATGGGATTGAGCCCTGCACCACCGGGGTCTGCACTCAGGAGTCTGCTTGAGATTTTCTCTCTCCTTTTCCTTCCGCCCCTTTCCCACCAGTGTGCACACATGCGTGCTCTCTCTCACATAAATAAATCTACAGCGCCTGGGTGGCTCAGATGTTTGGGCATCTGCCTTTGGCTCAGGTCATGATCCCAGGGCCCTGGGATCGAGTCCCGCATCGGGCTCCCTGCTCAGTGGTGTCTGCTCCTCCCTCTGTCCCTCCCCACCGGCTTCTGCACGCCCCGTCTCTGTCTCTTTCTCTCTCAAATAAATAAAATAAAACTTTATTTATTTTTAAAAAAGATTTATTTATTTATTTGACAGAGAAATCACAAGTAGGCAGAGAGGCAGGCAGAGAGAAATGGGGAAGCAGGCTCCCTGCTGAGCAGAGCCCCCCAATTTGGGGCTTGATCCCAGGACCCTGGGAATCATGACCTGAGCTGAAGGCAGATGCTTAGCTAAAATACCTGTTAAGTACAAATATATTACTGTGATTTCATGGGTATGCAGGACATGTTCAGGACAAGTGTTGGGTAAAGAAACGAAGACAATCTGCAGTCGATGACAGGAAAGGGTGTCCTTAGCAGTCATTATGGGGGGGTGCACACAGAGCACTGGTCAGGGAGGAGGGAGGCCCCCCGACAGTGGCAGTGGTGTGGGAAATACTGCAGGCGCCTGTCAAAAGCATCCCCTTAGGATTGCCACAGCCTTGTCCTGTGTCCATCCTGGCCCCTCTTCTTCAATTTCCTCCAGCAACCCAGAGAGGTCCTGTGACAACTCAGCCAACAACACTGGGCTCCTCATGCACCTGTCAAAGGGTCTTTGCAACCATTTTCACAGATGGATAAGGCTTGCTCTCTCCCGTTGCCAAGTCTCTGCTCAAGGGTCACCTTCTCAGGGACACCCTCACCACTCCGTCTGATTGGCAACCCTTCCCCAGCACTCCCTATACTCCTGATTCTGTTTTTCTCCTCAATTTCCTGTACCCAACATCGACTTGTGGTTATTGCCTGTCCCCAAAGCAGGGACTTGGGTTCGTTGCTGCGCCTCTAGCATCTAGAACGCCTTCTTTGTGCCTGGCGTTCAATTTAGCAAACCTTTTCTCAGGCTTTCACACCAGTTCTCTCTGCTGGGAATGTCTCACCCTGGTTTTCCCCATCATTCTTTAGGACCCGGTAGGAAGACTCTCTCCTTGGTGAGGTTGTCCCAGATCTCCTCACTCTAGGCAGCAACTCACTGTCTTTTCCCCTCTGGTTGTCCTCACCCTGAGCCCACAGGGCCGTGACCTTCTGTATCCCCATCCTCTCCTACCAGACCTGCTCTGACTCACTGCTGGCTCCCCAGCACCCCCAGGGCATAAGAGTAGGTGCTAAGTGTTGGCTCTCTCTCTACCTGTTCCTGCCTCTGTCCCGCTGTCTCTCTGCCATTTAACACATGTTTCCTGAGGCCTTGGTGTGGGCTGCTCCCCCCACCTGGAAGGTTGCCCCCACTCTGTCCACCTGGTGAGCTCCTACTCATCCTTCAGGCCCCAGGACAAGCTCTGTCCCCTGTAACGGTGACTCCCGTTAGCCCAGCCTCTCCCCTGGTGACTGTCCTAGAGGCTACAGATATCTAGGCCCCAGGACATCTTCCCTGTCAGACTAGGACCCCCTTGAGGGCAGGTCTGACTCATCTTGGGGTCCACAACACTGCCCAGCCCAGGACATCTGGGCTGAGTGCACATGGGTGCCCCCGAGGCCCTTATCTCCCTCCTCCCTTCAGGCCTTTGCTTCTGCTCTTCCCCCTAGCTGGTGACCTTTTCTTCCTTACTAGCAAACTCCTGCTCCTCTTTAAGGTCCCAGCTCACACATCACCTCCTCTGTGAGGTCCTCCCTGACTCCTCAGGTGGTTAGTGTATCTCTCTCATCTGGGAACCCTCTGCCCCTGCCCCACCCCCCCAAGCCCCCTCCGCCCAAACCTCAACACATTCTGACCACCTGCGTAGTGACCTGGAGACGGGGGACTCCTGGAAGGCAGGCCCTGGGCCTGACCCATCTCCATGTCCCAGCAGTGCTAAGTACCCAGTCAGTCTCAGCAGACATTTGCTGAATGGCTGCAACACTGAGGAAACCCCTCTGGCCTTGGGAGGGCCCTACCCCACCCCCTCTCTCCTCCCACCTGACTTCACACCACCTGCTATCTAGGGCCTTCAAGGCCCACTATGACTTCATGCGGTTGGCCTGGGAAAGGCAATCCGGTCGTTGTCCATGGCAACCAGGTCTTTCATGTCCACTGTGATTTTAAGGACCACAAGCCCTTTTGCACCTACCATGCCTTCTCCACCTACAAGATCTTCAAAGCCTGGCATGTCTCCAGCATCAACTAAAACCTCAATGTCCAAAGTACCTCCCAAGCCTCCTGCCTCCTTGAAGCCCACCAAATCAGCAATGCCCAATAGCTCCTCGGTGTCCACTAAGCCATCAACGGCCCCCAACTCGGTCACAAGCCCAAGCAGTTCCAAGTCTACCAAGTGGGCAAGTACAAAGACAGCCCCTTCTAAACAGCCCAGCAGCAAGCCCCGAGTCCACAGCAGGGCAAGAACGCCCAGCAAGGCCAGCACTGACACCAGGGGCAGCAAAGTCAGCAAGGCCAGTGGAGTAAGACACCACCAAAGGAGGGGCACTCACAGCCGGGGCCGAACTCCTGGCAGAAGGGGAGGCCACAGCTCCAAGAGGTCACCCAGCAGGGCCAGTACTATGACCAGGATGAGAACTCATGGTGCCACACCAGGTGTGCCCAACAGGGGGAGAACTCCTACTTCCCAGAAAAAACAGAGTGGGGGCAAGAGTTCCAGCCGGCCTAGAAACAACAACTGGGAGAGAAGTAAGAGCCAGCCTAAAAATATGAGCAGAAAGAAGAGTTATAGCCCACCAGGAGCCTCAGGCATGGGGAAGAGTTCCGGGCCAGCTATAACCCCAAGTAGGGCAAAGAGTTACAGCCCCACTAGAACTCCCTTCAAGGAGAAAGGTTACAGCCAGTCTCCATCATTATCAAGGAGGGTGAGAAGTTATAGTGAGATGATCACCCCTAGTAGGGAATGGAGTTACAGCCCAACTGAAGTATCCAGCAAGGTCAAGAGTTACAACCAGGATAGTGTACCCAGCAGGACCCGGAGTCATAGCCGGTCTAGTACCCCTAGCAGGGCCCAAAGCCAAAGCTGGTCCAGCACCCCCAGTAGGACCCAAAGTCACAGCCGGTCTAGAATGCCCAGAAGAGCAAGAAGTCGAAGTCAGAAGAGAGCCCACAGTAGGATGAGAAGTCACAGTTCAAAGAGAAATCACAGTAGGGCAAGAAGTCGTACCCGGAAAGGAACTCCCAGTCAGATGAGAAGACAGAGCCAATCCAGAACCCACAGCAAGGGAAAATATTATAACCAATCTGGAACCCCCAGAAGGGAAAGAAGTCACAGCCAGTCTAGAAGCCCCAGCAAGAAGCGCGATCATAGACGATCTAGAACACCCAGCAAGGGGAGAGGTCACAGACAATGTAGAAGCCCCAGCAAGGAGAGAGATCACAGACGATCTAGAACACCCAGCAAGGAGAGAGGTCACAGACAATGTAGAAGCCCCAGCAAGGAGAGAGATCACAGACAATCTAGAAGCCCCAGCAAGGAGAGAGGTCAAGGACCATCTAGAAGCCCCAGCAAGGAGAGAGATCATGGACGATCTAGAACACCCAGCAAGGAGAGAGGTCAAGGACAATGTAGAAGTCCCAGCAAGGAGAGAGACCACAGGCGATCTAGAACACCCAGCAAGGAGAGAGACCACAGGCGATCTAGAACGCCCAGCAAGGAGAGAGACCACAGGCGATCTAGAAGCCCCAGTAAGGAGAGAGATCAGAGACGATCTAGAACCCCCAGCAAGGAGAGAGGTGGCAGGCGATCTAGAACCCCCAGTGAGGAGAGAGAGCACAGCCGATCTGGAACCTCTAGCAAAGAAACAGATCACAGCCTATCTAGAACCTCCAGCAAGGAAAGAGATCACAGCCTAACCAGTATCCCCAGAAAAGAGAGAGATTACAGCCAACCCAGAACCCCTAGAAAACAGAGAGGTCATAGTCAATGCAGAACCTTCGGAAAAGAGAGAGATCACAACCAATCCAGAACATTCAGAAAAGAAAGAAATCAGAGGCAATCTGGAACCTCCCGAGAGGAGAGAGATCACAACCTATCTAGAAGCTCCAGCAAGAGAGGTCACAGCCGATCTCGAACTTCCAGTGAGGAGAGAGAGCACAGCCGATCTCAAACCCCCAGTGAAGATAGAGACCACAGCCAATCTAGAACCCTCAATAAGGAGAGCAATCCTAGTCAATCTACAGCCCCCAGAAGTTTCAGCCAGAAGGATTCCACCAGCAGGGCGCACAGTCCCAGCCAGAATGGAACACCTAGGAAGACAAGGAGACAGCCCCGCTCTAGATTTCTCAGTGGAGCCCCAATTCCAAGCCAGGATGATACTCAAGGCAATGCCACCATCTCTAAGGGTGCCTCACCTGGAGAGAGGTCCTCGTCGTCTTCTTCCAAGCTGGCATAGCCCCCAGTCTCAGCTGGCTCACGGGTCTCTGTCATGGCCAGGGGAGGGAACGGGAGATAGGAGCGGAGCAGCAGCTAGGCAGCGTCCCTCCCCAGCCAGCTCTTCACAGTCACACGTGGGTCACAAGTTCTCCAATGCAGGATGTCGGCAGGTAGAGTGGGATGCTGCACGGGGGGAACAAAAGGCCTGTGGTGACTCAATAAATTTTTACATAGCATCTGCCTCCCCAGGCCCAGCTGTGTGCTCTGTGCTGAGGGAAAGGAAAAGATCACCCCAGCTCTTCTATAGATCTTAATTTCCCCATCTGGGCAACAAAGCTCTTAGTGGCATGGGGAAGGGTAATATCCCAATATTTAGCAGCAGGTATCAGCATGGGCACCAATCAGAACTGAGTGGAACATGGTAGAACATAGTCCTATGCCAGGAATTCACCCTTTAGCTGGTGGTTTGTGAGAAACTCTGGTACTAGGGGAGGGTCCAAAGCAGCAGCTGGGGGGAGGGAATTCCTTGATATAGTGGTGATCTATCAGTCAGTCTAGAAGGACTTCCACATTTGTGTCAGCCCTAGTCCTATCCCTTGGAAAGGTAGTGTCTCAGTCTAAACCCCAAATCTGCCATATTCTAGCTATGTAGCTTCAAGCAAAGGACTTAACTTCTCCAGCCTGTTTCCTTCTCAGTACAAAAGGACTCCCAGGGCTTAACCCATGTAGTCCTTATAACTACGTTGAGAGATTATCACCTCCTTTGTACACGAGGAAACTGAGGCACAGAAAGAATTAACAAGTAGTTCAAGGTAACACCAACTAGTTGGTGGGTGAACTAGGATTTGGTGTTACCCTACCTCTAATAAAATGAACTCTAGACTGAAAAAACTTCCTGAAGATTCAATGGGCTCATTCAATATAAGCAGCCGGTATGTGGCAGGTACTCCAGCCACGATGGCTGTTAATGCTCCCACCCATAATCCTTTCTATTAACCCAGCCATTCCAGACTTCTTACCTCTCCCAGTGCTCACCAGGACTTTTCACATCTGTGGGTCTTAGCAAATCCTACTACTGCTGTCTGGAATGTCCTCCTTTCCCCTTGTCTGCCTGGAGAACTCCTACTTGCTCGGCAAAGCCCACCTCAAACACAAGAACCTCTGTACTTCTTCGAGCCCAAATACCATCTCTACCTCTGCCAAGAAGCCTTCTCTTTCCTCTCTCTCTTCACCAATACCTCCCCACACACACACACACACACACACACACACACACACACACACACGGCAATTCTTTTGTCTCCAATTGCACTCCTTGGCAGTAAAGGCCAGGAAGAGCAAGTTAGTCAAAGGGGGTGGCAGCTACACCTCTTTCTGCCAAGACTTGTCCTGGGGTACACAATGGTGGAAAACACGCAATCCCTTCAAAGCCTGGAAGTCAAATTTAATGCTAGGGACAAAAAAAAAAAAAAAAAAAGTGAAGCATAGAGGAGGCTGGGGCATGCAGGTAGAGGGAAGGGTGAGCTGGTAGCAATGGCAGGGGAGCTTTCTAAAGACACATGGGTCTGGGGAAAAAAAAAAAAAAGACACCTGGATCTGGGTTTTAAGAACAAGGAGATTCGGGGTGCCTGGGTGGCTCAGTGGGTTAAGCCTCTGCCTTCGGCTCAGATCATGATCTCAGGGTCCTGGGATCGAGTCCCACATTGGGCTTTCTGCTCAGCAGGGAGCCTGCTTCCCTCTCTCTCTCTCTGCCTGCCTCTCTGTCTACTTGTGATCTCTGTCAAATAAATAAAATCTTTAAGAAAAAAATTAAAAAAAAAAAAAAAGAACAAGGAGATTCATAATTGTTAGAGGAGAGTTGTCATAATACCCTATTGCTTGTAGGGTCCCATTTATTTTGGGATGTCTACTTTATGCCAGGATAAGTATGCCAGATTTAGTAAACGTAAACAGACCATGCCTGGTTAAATTTTAATTTCAGATAAACAGAAAATTATTTAATATACATAGGTTCCATGCAATGTTTGGGATAAATATTTCTAAAAGGTTATTTATCTGAAACTCAAATTTAACTGGACGTTCCATATGTTACCTGGCAACCACACACTAGAGACAATCAGGACTTCCCACGAGATTACCAGGAGACATCGCTCACCAGTCCAGCCTACCTTCCTCCAAACCCACATCACACAAGGACCTTCCATAGTCAAGTGGAGACACTCTTTGGTGCACAAATCCCATTCCCACAACGACTACGGGGGCCATACTGGCTTCCACAATTTAAAGGGACATAAATGAGGCTCCCTCACTACCACAAGGAAAACACTGCCTAGGCCCCACCAAATCCTGAACCTACAGCAACCAACTCCCAAGATGCCCTGCGTGAACATAACAGGCACTCGTTCCTATAATGCTAAGGCAAGGAGGCCAGAGTAAAAACCTTACGCCAGACAATAAGGACTGGTCCCCACCATGCCCTGCGGCAATCTGTCCCAGGATGCCTCGGGCCTATAATGACCACCTTCCAAGGTGTTCTGCGTCGAAGCATTCCGAGCTTCCAGGATGCTCAGCGTAAGGTGTGTGACAAAAGGGACTGGTTCCCCACAAGGAGTTAGGATAATGCTTCCCAGAATGCACTAGGCCCATAACGACTAGCGGACCGCCTCCCACAATGCCTTAGGGCGGAGCGTCCCGTTTCCCCAGGATGCCCCAGGACTGCACGGAGCCGCGTTGGGGGAGAAAAGGGAGCCTAGGTCTCGCCCTCCGGCTACCACGGGCCAAGACGGCTGCCTGCTCGCCCCGGTGACGGGAGCCGTCACTCCCATCATGCAGCGGTGCCGTAGCGCCCGCTTCCCAGCATGCCCCGCGCACCCCTATCCCGGACACTCACCGGCGCTAGCTGCCCCCGCTCTGGCTCGGCGGCGGCGGCTGCACGCCTGGGCTCTGCGCCTGCGCTGCAAGTCGGGTAGGAGGGAGTGCAAAGCGGCGTGAAGAGCCTAGGGCGCTTGCGCGGCGAGATGGACCATTCCCGTCGCACAGTGGGAAGAGGGGCTCTCGGAGTCGAGCCATCGACAAGGCCCGCGCAGGGGGTTGCGGGCTTTGCCCCTCGCTGTCCGGGTTTATTGGTACAGTCCGCGGCAAAACAGAACAAGAAACTGCAAGGCTTGCGCGTGCGTGAGCGAGCGAGAACGCGCCTTCTAGAAAATGGGATGAGCTAGGGGTTGGGAGCACCAGCTAGGCCTGGATCCTGTGCCTGAGGCTTGCTTATTTGCATAATCTTAGTGAGGGACAATAGGAGCCCTACGGCGCTGAAGGGATGATTTGCATATTCCCCGGAGAGGCCGTACTCCAGAACGCCGTGATTAGCATATGGGGGGGCGCTCCTGAACAAAGCGCATGCGCTGACGGATTGCGGCTAGCGCTGAGCTGGTGGCCTTTTAATTGGCATCAGTTTGCACCCGGAGAGGGGGCTCAAGGGCCAAGACACTTACCAACCCTCACAAGCCCTCCCCCCACCCCCAGCGTAAATATTTACTGCTCTCTTGTGTGCCAATCCCTGTGCGGTGGGCACTGTGGTTTCCGTGGTAGACAAGACACACCTGGCTCCTATCTTCATGGCACCCCAAAGAAAGGAGAGCCTCAAAAGTCAGACCCACAACCCAGAGTGGTCAGACTTGGGATGAGTGGAGTATAGGAAACTGGGGGTGCCAAAGGAGATGCCTGCCCCAGCCTGGAAAGTCTTCCAAGAGGTAGTGAACTTTAAACCAAGGATGAATAGAAGCCAATTAGAATAGGAATTTTTCTGGCAGAGGGAACAGCAAGGGTAGAAGCCTGTTTAAGAAAGTGATAGCAGCCAGGTATGCCTGAAACACAGAATTAAGAGAAGGGAAAGGCTCTTACAGGTGAAGTTAAGAGCTCAGACCACACTGACGGTATCAGAAGCTGTTGCAGCATTCTGGTCTTCCTGGAATTGAATCTGATTCCAGCTCTCCAGTGAGCTCCCATTACGCTTAGAAAAAATCCGAACACTATCATGGCTGAGGGGCTGTACACGTGATCTGCTCCTACTTGTCTCTGACTTCACTCTCCTCTATCCACTCCACAGTCTAGCTCCACTTCTCCTCAAACACTGTAATCTCTTTACCACCTCAGGCCTTTGCCCCCACTCTTCTCTTTGCCCAAAAATGCTTTTCCCTCTGAACTCTGAATAGCTGGTCTTATGCTCATCATTCATTTCTTGGCACAGGTGTCAATCAGGCTGTCCTTGATCTTTCAAAGATGGCACCTCCACCTCCAGATTTGCTTTAGAAAAGTGAGTAGAGTTGTGGATAAAATAGGTTTGGCCATGAGTCAGTAGTTGTGGAACTTGGGGTGAAGGGTGCATGGGACTCCATTTGTCCTGTCTACTTCTGCAGTTCAAGTCTTCCATAATAAGTTAATAATACCCCACATCCCCTTACACTGAGTTTTATCTTAAGGGTAATTATGGCAATCTGAAATTTAGGGTTTTTTTTTGCTTCCTTGCTCAGTCTGTTTTCCTCATGGAAGCTTTGTGAGGGTTAGAATGGAGTCACCCTTTTTCTTTAGGTCCTCAGTGCCTAGAACAGGATCAAGGTTCAGATTAGTACCAAGGTGTCTAGAACACCTAACATTTGCCTATTTTGTTCACCATGGCATCTCCACATCTTTGAGCAGCACTTGGCATAAAGTAGTCTAAATTAGTCTAAAATTAGAATCACTCATTTAAAATTTAGTTGGATGAGTGAGGGGTCAGAAATGCCAGGCTAAGGGGGTTTGACTTACCTAGAGGTGAAGGGTTTTGAACAGAGCAGGGACAGGTGTTGCCAGGGTGAGAAGTGAGTCATTAAGAGGTCCTTTGGAGACTGACGTCAGGGGTAGGGGTAAGCCAGGGTAAGGATCCAAGCCATCGCCTGGGGATGGGATAGCTCAGTGACTACTGAAGAGACAGGACTCAGTGACCTTTGACTGATGGAGTGGCCAGGAAAAAAAAAAAAAATCCGATTTCTTGGAAAAGGGGAGGTGCCCTCCTTACCTCCCTCATACAGGGAGGTAAGGACCCTCTCCT